GATCGCCGCGGCGTGGCGCGGCCGGGCGGGGTGGGGGCAGACAATGTCCCCACTCGCAGCCGGCCGCCCCTCCCGCGCGCATCCACGCGGCCCGCGGGGAAGCGCGGCGCCCCGACCCCCTCCCCGCAGCCCCGGGCCGCTCCGCCGGGGGCGCGCCTCTGCGCCCGGGGGCCCGCGCCCGCTCCGGCCTGGGCCGCCGGAAAGTTTTTTAGTTCCGCTTGCAATGAAACTTTTCTCTCTCCCTCACTCTCGCTCGCTCGCTCGCTCTCTTTTTTTTTTCCTCTCTAACCCGGATATGGGGCGGGGGGGTGCACGACTTGCCTGAGCCTATCGGGCCCAGCGCGGCGTGCGGGAGCCGAGCGAGCCGGAGCAACTATTATCCGCTTCTCTCGGAGGGCTCTGCGCACTCGCAAAACGCGGCCTGGACTCGGCCCCCGGCGCCGCCGCCGAGCCCGGCCTGGCGGGATCAGGGGACCCCGGCCGCCGGCGCTCTCGGCCCGGAGCTGCTCAGTCCCTCGTGCCTCCGGTCTCCTTGCCAACCCGCGTTCCTGTGTTTGTTTTCACGTCTAAAGGGAGCGCTGCGAGGGTGGAAAACGAGTCTGACGAGCAGACAAAAGAGGGAGAAGGGGCTGGGAAGCAAAGTTGTGCGCTGGGCCTCAGAGGTGGCGAGGAGGCCGGCGGGGAAGGGGGCCGTCCAGGCAGGCCGGCCGAGGGAAAGCGCTCTCTCTCTCTCTCTCTCTCTCTCTCTCTCTCTCTCTCTCTCTCTCTCGAGTTATGTAATTTTTTCAGAACCTTGGCCTCTCCGCCTCGATTCCCGGCCATCGGCGTGATTCCCACAACTTCATCCAACTGAGAAATGAGGAAAGACCAAGTGAAGGTTAAACCGCAAAGAAGGCTGTGCCGGGTACACAGCAGGCGCTCAATAATTGCTTATGATTCACCACTTCCAATCCCCGAGATGATGTTTAAGCAACTCTTTTTTAAAGGCACCTTAAGTAGGTATGAAAACTCCTAGTATTCCCCACGGAGTATTTTTCTCATAATGCATTTGGGTGTCCTCTCAAATGTATAGTGTTAGCTGCAGACAGCATTCAAGAGACGTTTTAACTATTGGTGCAAAAGCAGCGACCGCCTAGGTTTCTATCCTGTCTTCGTAAATCTACACGACGCCTTTCATCATATTTCAGAGGTTAATGTGTGCAATTAACCCTCTTGATATGAGTTCATTTCTAAGTAATGGGAAACAAAACCAAATAGATGTATTTAATAAACGTAAAATCAATAACAATGTAAACAGTCTAATCCTGAAGCAGAAATCTTAAGTACTTGCCCGTTTCAAAAAGTGACCCAATATTGCTTCAGCAGTAGAATGTTTTAAACACTATCATGGAATAACTAACCTCTTGACTGCCTCGGATGTCTAGACTTCTTAACCTGAGCAATGGCTCGGTTGTGCTAGGGTGGACTGATTTGTACTGAGAGAAAGCATTTGAAACCAAAGCTTCCCAGAGGTCAGGCTGAAGGAGTATGCTTGCACTTTTCCAAAATCATTCTTTAGCAGCTCATAAAAACTATTTTAGTTGATGTCAATTGCAGTGGTTGTTTTCTAGACCGAGTGTAAATATTTTAGATGGCTAAATAGAAAACGAGATGGTGAGTGGGCTTTGGTAGTGACTAAGTGAGGGGGAGAGAGAACCCAGTCTATACCCAAGGTCGCTGTAAAGGATAGAAACATTTCATGACACCATGGAAACGACTGGAGAGCAGGGTCCATGTGCTTGTGTGTGAGGGAGCCTCAGCCATCAGATGAGTCTACGCCAACCCTTTCATCAGGTTCTGCCAGAAGAACACTGCATCTTGTTACCATGCCTTCTTGACATTTTCCCCCTGGATCTCCTCTCTATAGATTTGAATGCATACTAATTATAGGATGACACCACACAAGTTGAATTTTCAAAGTTTCATACACAAATAGAAAATATGTCTGTTTTGTGTATATGTCTATCGACATTCTAAAATCAATTACATATTTATGCTTTTAGACATTTACAGTCAAACTAAATATATACATATAATCATAAAAGTGCAGGGTTTTTTTTTTTTTTCAGATGAGTAGAATATATCAAAGTCAGTTCAGACAAGCCGTATGTTGTGACTTATTTCCACAACCATGCCTAAAAGAGAAAATGAGTCACCAAGTTCAGCTCTGGCCTGTTGTTAGAAATATTTTTTTTTTTCATGTCAAAATCATGAAGCTTGAAAAAAAAAATATGTGAGTGAAAGAAGAAAGAAATTAAGTATGTGAGTGAAATCTCATTTAACTTCAAGTCAACTCAAAGAATGGAACCAAGAGGCAATAAAATAGAGGCCCCCAGCACCAGAAATCAACCTGCTCTAAAGGGCACCACATGCCAGGTTCTCCTCTCCAGTGACAGATGCCACACCCTAAAAGCAGACAGAAGGCACCACAGCACAAAGCCTGCAGGACTTGGTTAGGTCTTTGTAGCCATGGAGAACGCTAAAGTGTCTTCTAAAACACATCTTTGCTGAAGATAAATCATGGACTCCTCTATTTATTCAACTTTCCCAGCACACCTTGGGAAAATGTAATGAAAGTCTCTTCAGTTCCATGTAAAGCCAGCACTTGATAAAGAAGATGGCAGTTGTCAGGGGTCTGGTATAAAATAAGGAAACGAGCTCACGTCTCACAGAAGCACCGTTTTAGCCCTGGCTTATTCTCTTTGCCTGGGCCATCCTACGTGGCAGTTCAGCCTTGTCTCTCTTGGTGCGAGAAAGTGACAGAAATCACATTGGGTTTTTCTTAATGAGTTCCTTAATTTTTCACCTCTCGTGCCTAAATTTCAAACCATAATGACAACTGTGTTCTTGCTGTCACCACAAGGAAGCCTTAGAGGTGGAAAGCTGCTGGTGGCCTTGGCCGTGCCATGGCCTCAGCCAGCCTCCCACCCACAGCCTTTCGTGTGTAGCCAGAGGATTACCCATTATTTTGTTAAACATGCCTTTCTAGTTACAAAAGGTTTTCTTTCTCTCCCCTAACTATATGGAAATATTAATATTCAAATACTGCTCCTTTTGAATAAGTTTTAGGGCACTGAATAAAAGGCCCTTCAACTTACCCACTGAAAGAAAAGTGAGCCAGATGGTAGTTTAAGAATTCCACAGCTCTGTTCTTTTTGCCTCTCCAAGGCCCATCACACTGTTTGCTCGAAGATTAGCCCTTTTTACTGTTCTCCTTATTTACTTGGTGACTGAGGCGATCACGATTCACTGCCCATCATATTTCTCAGTATTCTTTCCGTAATTTGGAAGCAATTTGGAATAAAGCCCTGTCAAGGTTTTACAAATAAGAACTATTAAAGAATAAGGCTTTGGATACTTGCTTTCCTTTTAGATTTATGAGAGATGCGATGAATAGCGCTAATGGGATTTCCCTACTGATCTTGGTCAGGGACTTTAAAGAGCACTAAACAATTGTCCTATTCACGTCTCCGATTTAGACGTTAGCACTGAATAACTCTGAGTCGGCGCAGGATACTGGCTATATGGCTATACGGCCATTGGATTGGAAACAGATATGCAAATTATCTCTGGCCTGTGAGTTCAGAATGCTAAACAATTATGTCTAGTAGGATGGGGGGACTGAGAGGGACAAACCGCAATAGGCAACAAATAATTTAAAGCGTTCTGGCCAGCAGCAGCATATTCTATTTGTCGAGATTAAAGCAGGCACAATAAACAGGGTAAATTACACTTGATCATTCAGCAGACTTGCTTCGAATCTACTTGATGCCATCGCATCCACAAAAAGAAAAACATGTTACCTTGGCCCAGTTATGAATGAGAATCAACTATGAACATTTGAACCAAAACACACTGAATTGGGCCCTTTCACGTTCCAGAGGACCAGTGAAGAACTGAGGTCAAATTTTCTCACCCAAGGGCACCTGACGCCGTTGTTCATTGTTGGAAACCCCTACCAGGCATCTACTCCTCCATCTCCACAGCTCTGACAACACTGAAGACCGCCAGATCATCAGTAGGCCAGTACAGTTTGTCTCCAAGGGCCCTGGGAACACAGTGGCAGCAGTGAACCATGGGAAGGAACTTCTCAGAGCATTTCAATGCACTGCACCTTGTCAGCGGTCTGCATTTTGATGGACCTGGAATAAATACTTTTATTACAGTCTAGTGTGTAACTGTTGTATAACTCTAAGAAAAATGTGTGTCCACTGGTGTCCATGTCATTTTCATGATTGCCTTCCCTCATTTCACCAGCGTTGGGAGTTGCAGAGCATTGCTAGTGTTTTTCAACCTTCTGGCCAGGAGTGCTGGCAAATGCCTGTAACCCCAACTGTCGGGGAGGCTAAGGCCAAAGGATCACAAGTTTGAAGCAACTTTGCTAAGACCCTGTCTGAAAAATAAAAACGGGCGGATGACACAGCTCAGTGGTAGAGTACTTGCCTAGCATGTTCAAGGCTCTGGGTTCAGTCCCCATTGCTGGAAAAGCAGTGTGTATATATTCTTTGACTGGCTGTTACTAGCTATTCAAATGGCTCCCATCATTGATGAGCTGCTGCACTGCCACTTGTGTTGAAACACCTTATAAATCACTCCAGTTCCTCAAAAATAAATACTTGCCTAGTGAACATGTTTGATATAATGTACAATAATTACTTATACAACAGGAAGTCATTTGAGGATTTGATCAGCTCCATTTTTTTTTTTCAAGAGAAGTTTCTGTGACTTAATCCAAGGGCCTTCCGGGTCTTTCACACAGATGTGATTAATTGCTTTATGGTACATATGGACTTTGAAAATAAAGCTATTTTTCAAGTACAACAAATTCCAAATGGGCCATATGCACTAATGTGGTCCATTCCTCATTTTTATTTTCAGCTGCTGATATTCACTCCCTTTGTGCCTAGTTCCATTGTGAAAATCAGCGGATACCTTTAAAGGATACATTAGTGACAGGCTCCCGACTGTCCTAGTAGGTGCTAAAGGATTTGGTTCTATCTTTTTCTTGCAGAAAATGACATAATTCCATTGAGGAACTTCCTTCTTAATGCAGACCCCTAAAAGTGGACAAGTTGTTAATTACAAGGAATTTTTTTCCTCCACAAACTTAAATATTTCTCGTTGCAACATGTTATTCTAAGATGTAAAATAATGTGAGCTCTATCTGATATCTTCTTCAGATGAATCTTTAAAAAAAAAAAAACTCTTATTTATATGTGTATGAGTGTTTTGTCTACATATATGGCTGGGCACCAGACTCGTGCCTGGTGCCAGGGAGTCCAGAAGAAGGTCCTCCCTGAAACTGTAGTTATACACAGTTAGAAGCCATCACATGGGTGCTAGGAATCAAACCAGGTCCTCTGGAAGAACATGCAGCGTTCTTAAGCACAGAGACATCTCTCCAGATCCTACATGAGTCTTAAGCTGTTGGTCCGTGCAGGCTAGGTGACCGGCTTCCTAAAGGGATACAAGTGCTGAAAGGTTCCTCTCCCGAAGTGTGAACCACAAGCCGTGTCCAGCCAAACCCACTGGTTCTCAGCAAAAGAGTATCCAGACTCTTAGCTGCGCCAGCCCTGCCGCAGCTGCTGAAAACAACAGAGAGAAATAAGTGACTGTCCTGAATGTACCTGCTAACTATGAATCATGTGATCACACAGACATAATTGCCAAGTGACAACAGCTGAAGGAGAGAGTCAAGGTGCTAGGAGCACATTAACTATGGGCACTAGTGGAATCTGGGCTGTGAGACTGACTGTCCCCTGCCAGCCTTGGGCTGACCATTTAAAAACAAGATGAAATCGAAGTGGTCAGTTGCTTTTAGGTGTGGCTGACATACTTGGTCCAGCAGGCCTAACTACATCAGGGTTTCTATCTGAACAGCAGAGAGAAGTAACCAGAGCCTTTTAGCAGGGTTAGGGTTTGGGCCCTGACAATGGGCCTGGGTTAGGAAACTGCTAACTGCTGGGAAGACAGCACACTGTACATAGAGCAGGGACAATGGGAGCTAGATTGGTGATGAGGTCTCAGGGGCCCAGGCTGAGGCAGCTCAGGCTACCAAGGCTGACTCGTGCAATTCAAGAGCAGCTGGATCTTCCAGAATCTTATGATTATGAGGAATAATCAGCGAAGATCACAAACATTAGTTCATTTTACCAGGCACTGTGGTGCGCTGGTTGGCTCTTTGTCAACTTGACACAAACTGAAGTAATTGTGGAAGAGGGAAATTCAATTGAAAATGCCTCTGGAGATCAGACTGGCCTGTAAGCAGATCTGTGGGATATTTTCTTGATCAATGATTGATGTGGGTGGGCGCCAGCCCATTGTGGGTGGTGCCATCCCTGGGCAGGTATTCCTGGATTGTATAAAAAAGCAAAATGAGCAAGCCATGGGCAGTAATCGGACACAGCCTTTGCTTCAGTTCCTGCCTCCTGATTCCTGTCTTGAGTTCCTGTTTTATCTTGCCCTCATGAGGAACTACAGCTATACATGGAAATAAACCCAGTTTTTCCTTCCCAAGCTGGTTTTGGTCCTGGTCTATCTCAGTAATAAAAAGAAAACTAGGATCTAATTAGTTGATTGTGCCAGGTGTGGTGGTACTCACCTTTAATCCCAGCACTCAAGAGGCAGAGCCAGGTGGATCTCCATGAGTTCAAGGCCGTTCTGGTCTACATAAAGTGTTCCAGGCCAGCCAGGGCTACATAATGAGACCCTGTCTCAAATAATACCAACAACAATAATAGTTTTATTTTAATGTTTGCATGGCTAAAACCTTGGTATAGTCACCTTCAAAAGCGAATGTGATATAAATGTGCTTTCCACACACAATTGATCCTAAGATCTGTTCTTTTAAAATGAACTAAAAGGACTTTGTGGACACTGTGACCTGGTAATAGATTACAAGGATAAAAATCAAAAATTATCATGAGCATTTTCTACTTTGGCTCCAGGATTAGGATTAAATGTATAAACCACATTGTAGGAACACCAGGTTTGGAATTTAGACTTCTTTATCCATGAAGCTGGCCCCAAGGGAAACAATGCAAAATATTCACCCCTCTCCGGAGCACAGTAAAAACTCCTGTGGTTTTTTGAAACCAGACCAACAACACATGTAGAAAATCCCATAGACTATTTTAAGTGAATTTAGTAGTTTTTTTTAAATCTCATTAACTTCTTGCCATATGTTGTTTACTTTGTATGCCCTGCATAGGCTGAAGGTGAAAATACTCCAGGCCACTGGGTTTCATCTCAGGGACATCTTTATGAGAACGGCACACACAAACTCTGTGGAATTCCCTGAAAAATAAAATTGAGGGTTTTTTTTTCCAAAAAAAAAAAAAAAAAAAAAAAGGCTTTTAAGAATGATTTGTGGAAAATAATATTTTTAAAGCAAGCCAGGAGGCAAGCAGGGAAACTTCCTCCCACCCGTGTGGAGCACGTGAGCCACCAGCCTCTCCAAGTCTCCAGACGGAACTCGGACTTCTGGTCCAGCTCCATGTGTGTGGCGAGCAGGTCCAGGCAGTTTACTTGTCCTCGCAGAATTCGAGAACCAGGATGTATATAAAACAGGAAATACTAGGCTGGGAATGTGCCTAGCAAACGTGAAAGCCTGGGGTTGGGCCTCACCCAGGGTGGTGATGTAAACCTATAGTCTCAGCAGGTGGTGGATGGAGAAGTTCAAGGTCATCCTCAACTACATAAGAGTTCAAGGCTAGCCTGGGCTACATGAGACCTCTGTCTCAAAGAGACAAAGGAAGGAAGGAAAAAGGAAAGGTAGAAAGGATAGCTAAATGCTATTTAATTCCTATGATAAATGAGAGGCTAGATAAATCATTTAACATATTGCTTGGAACTAAATAGAGAATTAATTTCCAAGTGTACTTTCCATTGTAAAATTTCAAGAAATCAGATATACTCTAATCAACCCCAAACATTGCAACATGATTTAAAAATTCCCCATTAAAGACATAGGAGCTTATTCCTTTCTCTACAGAGATTTAAGCCCTGGCAAAATAAAATTTTGATTTCAACAAGTATCACCAGGTACTTCTCCCAGTTAAGAAACTCAAATAGCAAATCTATTTCCTAGGGCTGGGGATAGTTAACTCATTGGTACAGTGCTTACCAGGCAAGCCTCATGCTGTGGGTTCAATTCCTGGTAGCAACAAAAACAAACAAAAACCCCCAAGACTTATTTCGTTATATTCCTGAAAGCCTGTCTGGTGTGGAAGCAGAGAAGATACAAAAGTGACTGTGAGACCAAGGTGGACAGATGACACCTTCCCCTCCTAGCATCCCTACATGCGCATGAGCAGAAGGTGGGAATGGAAGGGCTAGACAGAGAGCTCAGTAGATTTAAGTGATTGCTGTGAAGGCATGAAGACCCGAGTTCAAATCCCCAGCACCCACATAGAAAAGAGAACATGGTTGTGTGCGCCTATGACCCTGGCAATGGGAGACAGAGACAGTCAGACCCTGGCTAGCCAGCACAGGTGAAATGGTTAACTTCAGGTTTATTGAGAAGCCCTATTTCAAAGCAACAAGCCAGGGAGTAATGGAGGAAGAAGATTCCTTGTATCCCGCTCTGGCCTCCATGTACCTGCCTACTCAAGAGCATGCAACTCACACATGACACACAACACACAGAAGAGAAAGGGTGGAGGGTGAGAACAGTAATATAAAACAAACTTAAATACCTTCTCCTCCTCCTCCTCCTCCTCCTCCTCCTCCTCCTCCTCCTCCTCCTCCTCCTCCTCCTCCTCCTCCTCCTCCTCATTCTCCTTCTCCTCCTTCTTCTTCTTCTTGCTGTTGGTGGTGGTTGCTTGTTGGTTTTTCAAGACAGGGTTTCTCAGTGTAGACCTGCCTGTCCTGGAACTTGCTCTGTAGACCAGGCTGCCTCAAACTCAGGGCTCTGCTTGCCTCTGCCTCCTGAATGCTGGGATTAAAGGTGAGCACCACCACCTGGCATTTCTTAACATGGTCGTCATTGCTCGCCATGCTTGTTGATCTGAGGCTGGAGCAGAGAGGCACTGGGATAATATGGGGACCCAAGTGAATTCGCAGATTCCATGGCTGCATAGGACAGGGAGTGATGTGGAGTGACATCTGCTGGCTTTTGACCTCTGGAGTCCATGTTCTCTGTGGGGGAAAGCGGGGGGGGGGGCGGGGGCGGGGGAGTGGTCTGCAGTTACAAGAATGACAAGGATTGATGGCTGCAACAGAGTTTACCTTACCAAAGTGGTGACCCAGGGAACAGAAGGGAAGACAGAGAAGGAGGGAGGGAGCCAGGAGCCAGGAGCCAGGGAATGAGGGACTGCTAGAAAAACAGCAAGTGTTAGGGACACTATTTCTAGAAAACACTGGCTCTTGAAGAAAAACAATGTTGCAAATTACAATGTATCCTTTGATATATTTATCATAAAGTAATTTAAACCCTTTTACTAATCTGAGATAATTCATGGAATTCAGAAATTTTAGGCTCAAGGTGAATTTACAAAATGAAGACTCTTTAACCTTTTCAATTACTAACTTTTTTTCTGACCTTCTGAGGACAAATTCCTTGGATAACTGTTCTACTTTTTCATATTTTATCACAAAATCCCTGACACACTGACACACGCTGACTTCTAACCTCCTATGGCTGCCAAGAAACTTTTCATCTGTGATTTCCAATGACCTCCATTCTTCTTAAAACACACACACACACACACACACACACACACACACACACACACACACA